GGCGCCGGCAACCACAGCCACTCGGTCTTGGAAGGGTTGAGTCTGAGTCTGTTCCTCCCCATCCAGACCCGTACGGATGGATGTAAAGATTTTCTTTCAAAGATGTATTTCCACTTTCTGAATCACAGCTGTTCCTTTTAAACCTGGGAAAGAGGTTGTTTCAAGATTTTTGCCATCCTGAAAAGGACTAGCTGCACCAAGGACCAAACCTTTTATTTGCTTCCACTCACATTGTCTCTTTGGTCAAAATCCACTGAGCTGGAGACAGAAGTGAGGCGTTCATAGCGATCATGGCTATCAGAGTGTAGAGCAGACGCAACACTGAAACGATAACAGAAACGCCCATTAAGTGAAGCTCACAGACCCTTAAAAGAGGAGAACCCAAAGGTCAGGACAGTTAATGCAAGGTAGTTTGGCCCAGGCAAGATGAAGAGAAAACTTCCAGAGAAGGCAGAAAGCAAAAGAGAAAAGCCGTTAGCAAAGATTGTCTTTTCTTTCCTTTCCCTCAGATCCAGTGCATATACATCTGTGATACAGCTAACTCTACTAGGCAGGTACAGTCGTGGTTTAAACATGGGTATTTCCAATTCCTGACGGATGGTGACCTGCCATGGAGTGGGTCAAAGACAAGTGCAGGCAATACATCCCCAGTCTCAATGGCTGGAATTTCGTGAAGTCACCCACTGAGATTCCAGCAGGCACAGCCCATTTGTGGCAGAACCCATCTAAGCAGAGGGACATTTATTTGCTGAAATCTCTTCTGGATGCTAAAGAGCTGTACCAAGCACCACATTTTACAGTCATTACTTTAGCACAATTGCAATGTACAAATGACCCTGTTCATGAGCTAACAAATCCCCACAGAAATTAACGGTGTGGCAGCTGTCCAATCTCCATGCTTGCAACAGAAACAATAAATAACATCTCATCAATTACAGGATAATGGCTACTTTGCAGGGAAATGGCAGCTGATGAAGTAGTGCCTTGTGGCCTCATCATCTGCTTCACATTTTTGTTGTGAAAGTCAGAGGAAGTACAATTTATACAGCACTTTTAGAGCTTTAAAGAGGTAATTGCAATAAATAAGGATGAAACACTGAAAATGATCTTCCAGTGTGTAGTTTACGAGAAAGAGAGGGACTTCCATTCTCCAATTTTCTGTGCTGCCACAAGGTTTGATCAGTGATGCCGTAAGAATGCAAGTACCATCTAGATAGAATGGGTAGAAGAGATCCAGGTGTCCATCACCACCTCCACAGCTAAACTCATATAATGGAGCAATGAAATAGAGAAGAGGAGAAAAAAAGGTTAGGCCTGCCCCAAAAGATGAATGAAGAAGAGCTATGAGAGTTTGCGCACTCCTTGTGAACCAGCAGCCAGGAAGCTTCCTATGAAATTATTAGCAGACAATACAAATATAGACATCGACACAGACATAGCCACCAAGAAATAAAGAAATAACCCAGATCCCGCATAAGACACCTTTATTCTAAGGAATTTAATAAAAAGGCCAGTAAAGAATGTCAAATTAATAATAAGAATTAAGAAAAATGAAAGTGTTAGTGCAATGTGATGTGCAAGTGAACAAAAATTGGAATGGAAAAAACCTTTTGGATCTGGTGAGCCTATCACTGCCAAAGATTTATACATATTGTACAAACTGCAAACAATCGAACAATTGGAACTGAAAATCTAGTATGTGATAACATAATAATTAAGTTTGAACTACTATATAACATACACACACACATAAAATGATATATAAATATGTTATTAAATGGTTTCTACCATTTTATTAATTAATCAAACTGATTGGCCCCTTCTTCTATCTGCACTAAATAAAAGTTATAAGAATCAGAAAGGATTTCTTTCTGCTTTTTAAAAAAGCTCAAATATACCAAGCTCTCAAATACATATTCAAATATACTTTGATATATGCACCAAGAACCACATTTCTGGCAAATCATGTCTGTATAATTGTCTAGACCAGGGGTAGGCAACCTTGGCTCTTTTATGACTCATGGACTTCAACTCCCAGAATTCCTGAGCCAGCCATGGATGTGTCCATGACTATGTTGGAGTTGAGCCTGACTTGAAGAAATAGCACTTGTACTGCTGTGCATAAACAAAATGAACATGGAAAGCATCTGGCCACAAGGGAGAGCCAGAGGATAGTATATTACCTGGCAAATTTCAGTAGTGTAAGAAGTGGCAGTGGCTGATGTAACAAGAGGTAAGTTGAGTGTGGATCCCAGCAGATCTGTCAACTCCTAAACCTCTCTAAGAATGAATGGGCCCTTTTGAGTACTCACCTGTCCCTCTCCTCATTGCTACTGAAGACTAAGGAAAAGCAACATTTGGCCTTAAGAAAGAAATCTATACTAACAACTGTTCAACTCCTTTATTAAGATTATTTATCTTAGTCTTAAGGTTCTATAATACCGCACAGTGTAAACTGCTCAGAACTGCTTCCCATTTGAAGATTTTTCTACTTCCTTGGCTAAAGTTCTATCAGACTCACAGACAAAACCAAACAAACTGATGAATGCTTTTTTGTAACGCATTTCCTGGAAGTTTCATCACGTACGCAGGATAGGCCATAGGCAAGAAACACAATGTAGGGAAACTATTTTCTCTGTTGATGGCCTTGATGGTGTCATCAGACCTTTATTTGGTT